TATATATAGGCATAGGCATACATATTTTTCACTTTTAAAAAATGTCACCAATTGATAACCAGCCAATTTAAAGGTCTGTAACTATGAATGCATCCGATTGAACAGAAAGAACATTTCTTTATCATTCAATTTTCAATTTACTTACTTAAGTGTTCCTCCATCTGACATGTCTTAGGGTCAATCTTCTATCGTCCAAGAAAAACCGTTTTTAGAAGATTTTTGAAATTTGTCCTTGATTGAGTTGATGCTTTTTCCTGGTCAGCATCTATTCGTAGCATCTTCCCAATTTTAATCCATGGGTCTCTGTAGTATGATTTATTTGCTTTAGCAAACATCATTATTTTCGTTATGGATGTATTTGGTTTCCTGCATCAGTGACGTAACGCCTATGCGGTCCGCAAGGTTCCCGACACCGAGGGGCCCGAGGGGCCCCGAAGGGCCCATCCACAGGGTTCTCGATCTAGCACCCTAACCCAAAAAGGGCTTTGCTGATGCATAACAAAATAATGTGTCTCTGACATCAACTGTAGGACATTGTATTATAGCCTTTATCCAGTGCCAAATTAAAGAGGCCCTGTGTCGGCCTGGGGCCCCAAAAAATGTTTTTAAAATGGATAAATTTTCTGTGAGTCTGTGAGTGTCATTTCCAGCCATATAGAGTTTCCATAATCATTAATTTTCTTTAGACCCTTTATTTGTAAAAGCCCCTCCTTCCTTCATCCATTCCTTCCCCTATCAACCGCCGATATAAAAAATACGAGCACATCTAAAATCCCCCGACGGAATTGGTGACTGCCCAAAAAGGGCCCGTTAAAACATTTAGAATACGATGATAAACATGATTAAACAAAGAGCATATCACAGAATTGGTACATAGGCCTATATAATTATATTATTGTCACGTATCATAAAACATTTGTTAACATTCATTTAACGAAAATTATTATTATTATGGAATTGAGTAATCTAATAATAATAGTCGGTCTAATATTAAAAATATTTATAATAATAATAATAATAATAAAATGATAATAATAACAATAATATTAATATTACAACATGAGGCCTAATTAATAATAATGGCAAAACTAATAAAATAATGTTACAAAATAATAACAACAGAATAGGCCTAATTATTTATAAGATAATGTTAATAGTAATAATTGCAATAATATTAACGATTTTCATATCAATAGTAATAGGCTTAATCAATATTGATAAAACAGTAATAATTGCTAATATTAATAATATTAAATTTAACAAATATTACATAAATTTTATTTTGTAAATTATTGTTTCTTGTTTATAAAAACTGGTATTGTATACACTTGTTTGCATTGAATGAAAAAAGCTTATAACACTACATTGTAGAATACCGGCAGCCACAAGCTGAAATGAGGAGTTTTAAGTATGTTAAGATGAAAGTCGTTACCCTACGTTTTTAGTTCAAGGGCATTACAATTACAACGAATAGACGGTTTCCTCTACAATTGTGTCGTGGTGTGGTGATGTCCTTGACAAGAAATTCGTAACACGCACGTAACCGATTAAACTACAACTTCCAATGGTTCACTTATGATAATTGTTCATAAATATTATACTTTTGGATTAAAATTCCATCAACCTTATAAATTCTTCCTCGAGGTTCATTAGATAGCTATAGGCTACAATCTACAGAGCCTGAACCTGAGCCTGGATCGTAGGCCATCTAATTTTAGATAGTGATCATTGTTAAAATTATCCAGGGGAAGTGAACCCCTGATCATAGTAATTGATAAAAATTAGAAAATAAAAATAAAAATTAAGATTTATTGTGGGTTCAACACTTCCATTCCCAGCTGCATATAAAAGCTGTGTTGATTGGACAAAAGTTTTATATTCAACTACATTTTGATTGGCCAATAATATCACGTGACCGAGGACCAATCACGTCTCGTGAAAGAGTTAAAGGCCTTGCTCGTCATTAAAACACGTGCTTCAATGCCTATCACCATCAGCTGGTAAACGGAATTTGTAAGACCACCAGCAATATACTGAAACGGGTCAACAGCTTCGATTTATACCGTCTCGTTCCAGACTTTGTTCCCACGACCGAGCCCGTGATTAAAACACGTTCTGCACTGCAGTGGTGAGTTCTTTGACACAGAGCCTAGATCGTAGGCTACGGAAATATTGTTTGTTGACGGATATGTGGATTTAAATTTTGCATATTAGTTGCATAATATTGAAGTGTAAATATTTAAATGTAAATGAATCTTCAAACACTTGATAAAATATATTTTTCAATATTTTTAATATTTATTTTTCGAGTGTTGGTGGTAAGCCTATCAATCATTCTTGGTACTATGGTAGCGGTGTGAATAGCGATAGCCAAGGGGGGTTGTGTTTATATGCGGTTTGCGTGATCTTCGTACATTTTCCCAGTATTCTGTGATTATAAACGCCATTATTTACAATTAACCTGACTGTGTAGTACATCAATCTTTTATTAATGTGTATTTTAATATTTAAAAATATTTTTTATTGTGAAAACTTAGCACACGTTGTAGCTATAGAGTTATGTAGGCGGAAATCTGCCGACCACCCAGGACATGGCCTAGAGAGTAGGCCTATGCGGAACTAAGAAAGTTGATTAAATTACCAGTATATTAACACGATTCCCAAGAAGAAATTAATAACTTTAAAAGTAGACTTATTGGTAAATGTGCAGCCTAGGCTAGGTCTGTAGCCTGTATGATTGTATTTTATTAACAAAAAGGCATAGCTTAAACTTAATAATGTGATCCACCTTTTAAAATGGGGCGACTTGGCTCTGTTTGCCTTCAATGAATGGGATCTTTTATTGTAGATGACCAGGCCTTTATCAATGTGTTAGACTTTACATTCTTGACCAAATCCTACTTTTCTTATGGTGATCAGTTCTAATAAACCTTTGATAGTGTTCTTAAGGGATCAGGGAATTGCAGGCTAAGGTATTTTGCCACATTCCACCATTGAAAACTTTCGTTTTTTAAAGCACCCCTTCAAGAATGATGACACTTCTGTCTGTTAGTCCTACCTGTGTTAATTCGTAGCCTAGCATTTTGAATAATCTCTTATCAATTGTCAATGTATTTGAAAGAACATGAACAAATGGAAACAGTCACCATTGAATAAATAACAGGTTAAATAATTTAATCAACATTCGTGTGAAAGTTTGATTATAAGAGCTAATGGCATTAAGCTGATGTACATAGTTCCATTCTGAATGCATGTCTACTTTACTGTTAACAAAAATATAGTTCCCCTCCCCCTACCCCAGTGAATGTGAAGAACAATGTTGCCCTTAGTTACACACCCTTCATCCCCAACTTCTTGGCATGGTAACCTTAGGCATGACTTTTAATAATTTACTATTATTATTTGATTATTATAATAATTCTTTCCCTGACAAATACATTTTGTTCTTTGTTACAAACTTGTGAACATTTTATATGTATAGGTATATATATGTATGTGTGTGTGTATATGTATGTGTGTGTGTATATATATATATATGTATGTATAAATATATATATATATATATATGTTATGTATATGTAATATATATATATATGTTAATATGTATATATATATATATATATTATAATTTTTTTAATAGATTTTATATATATGTATATATGTTTTATATATAAATATATATAAATATATATACTTATATAATTATGATTGATAGTCAACTGCTTTGAGCAGAGGATACTGACAGGTAACAGGTAGTAATTATATTAAACAAGGATAATACTTAACAAACTTTAACAGGCTAGAATGCTTCTAATTGCTCTATGCGTTTTTTGTTGCCAGAAATACTTTTCAATAACAAAAGAAAAAAGAAGGGAAGAATCTTAACAGTGTCACACAATTGTTTCCCATTGACCTCTTAAACAGGACTCAACGAACAACAAAAAATACATCAAAGCAATCATTAAAGAATTAAAAATTAATACACCATTTTCAATTTTGCATTTTAATGATTGAATTGAAAAGATTAATGATTAACAGATCGTCTCAAAATCAGAATCGTAGATTGTCCATTAAAATTGTTGAGAATTTGTCCAATAGTATCATACATCTTTTTTCATGTACATAAATTCTAAATTAAGCGATTAAGTAGTATTGACAAAATTAAGTTAAAAGTCATCAGTATTCTATTAATTTATTGTTTAAATGATAATAATTATTTTTATTAATATTATCATTAAGTATTAATTATTAATTTGCATAGTCATCATCAACATTATTAAAATTATTATTTCTTAACTACAACAGTTGTTTTCAGAACTACCTACGTCGTGTACCGTAAGCTTAAACATAAACATTATTAAACTAAAGATTTCTCTGTTGGGTTCATTGTTGAGTTAATAGTATGAAAATATTAATTTTTAATTAACAATGATAATATTGCCAGGGTTAATCTTTCTCACAGAATATTATATGTCAACAAAACTATCCAATTATAGTCTGGCAACATTGTCAAAAATGTACAGGGTACAACATGTACAGTGTGGGTTGACTGGGATAAATCAAGCGAGAATAAAACCTATATCAGATGTACTGAGAACCCAGCCTTAAGCAAGTTTCCAAAATTGTTCTCGATTTTGAAAATGCAATGCCGTACAAATCTCAGGACAATAGATCATTGGTTCGCATGCCAGATTGTTATTTTTAACAATGAATAAAATATTTCTTAAATTTATAAAAACTTAAATACATCCAACGAATGGAAAATATATTATTGTGCAAAAAAGATATAGGTTATTTAATTATTGATGAGTTCAATGATTTGTTGGAAACAGTTCCTGAGTTTTGGAGCAAAAGTTCTCTGGTTGAAAAATGCTAACATTTATACTAATTAATGTTGGTTTTTAGGTGTTTTCTTTTGGAGTGAAGGTGGAAATTTATTTGCCAAACAAAATTCAATTGTATTTAACAATGAAAAATATTTTGTAGTTGGTTTTTCTAACAATCTATGCCAGCTTTCTTAATCAATTGCACTTAATGAAGCTAGCATAGACTCTCTAAGCGAAAACAAACTAATGTTTGTCAGTACAGTACAGTACTGTAGTAAACAAAATGCCACCATGCTTGTCTTAATTAGGAATTAATCCATTATCGAAAGCAGGGTGGATTATCCACACCACCACCAGAAGCTGTTTTAGTTCAGTGTAATTGGCCCCCATTGCATAACTTTGATGAGAAAAAATGTTCTATATAATACACTTCCGCTGCTGTGTTTGATAAAATCCAACAATTATGAGCTAAGTGAAAAGGTTAAATTAAGCAAACTCTGAAAGGGCTTTGAGAGCCTTAGCTCTTTAATAGTAAGGTGTTTGACCCCAGCTAAGAAACATTCCTTTAAGAGGGCTTAATTCAATTTTAGCGTCTAAACACTGACTTGTTATGGATTATAAAATTCCTTGAATCCTCAGATGTCCAAAAAATTCAAAAATTAGAAGAAGCTTCTTGGAGGTTCTTTAGGAACCCTGAAGATGTGCTTTAGCTAACTCTTGAGGGAAACAGTCGGGAAAACATCTCTTGAAGAATAGTGCTGAGAATTCATGTAAGAGCAGGCAGCAGTAATGGATGAGTGGGATGGCGTTTATAGATCATATTATTTTCTCAACAAACAGTTTTCTACATTATTTTACCAGTATTTCTTTGTTTATAAAGCATGTAAGGACAATATTACAGTATATCCTCTGATAATCAAAAAAAGAGAACATTCATTTCCACTAAAATGTCTCAGCTTAAAAAAGCCCAAATTTTCTTATTTTTTTATGTGTCAGGGTGCTTAGCTTTACTGGCTGTACCTCCACCAAGGCTTTTCCCCAGACTCCAACTATCTTTCATAGGAAATTGTCAGACCCTGGCCAGATAGGCTAGCCCTACTGTCAGGCAGATGCTGGTGCCCCCACTGAGCTAAACATATTGATTGATAGGTGTTTCATTAATTACCTATAAATGTGAATTGCATTGAGGACATGATCTTGCTGTTATGTTGTTATTGTTGTTGCTGTTATTATTTATTTTTATTATTAATGATATTAATTTATTAATATATTCAAGCTTATCTTCATCCCTGTTCTCCCCTTAATTAGTTTAGTTTATTTTATTGAAGCATTTGATAGAGGGCCATTAGCTTCAGAAAGATAATGCAAACACAAGAATTTATTATTTGTTTCCTGTAATTATGATTAAGCAAAAGTATTCATTTCAGCTGCTAGGGCCTACTTTAGCTTAGCATTAATTGCATGAAATGTTATAAATAAGAGAATTGATTCCCTTCAACATTTACTTCAATTAAAAAAGTCTAATTTGTAATACATATTAAATAAAAATTAATTATAATTACTGTAATATGTATTGAAAATCTTCACTCAAACAATATAATTTGCTAATCAATATTAATGTAGAAATGATTATGTCATATTTCAAGAGTTATATGGCATACTATTAATTCACTTAACATATTAATTATAATTAAGATGTTATTGATAATCTTCACTCAAACACTATTATTTGCTAATATTATAAATATTAATATTGAAATGATTAAGGTCATATTTCTAAAATTGTTTGGCAGTGCTTGTAATTCAATTATTCCGTACTGTACAACGGTTATAATGGCATAAAAAAAGTTTGTACCTCTAAATTTTATCATTATCATTATCCCATAACATTTATTGTGTGTTAATAATTTCAAATTCACTTTATAGACCTTCTGTTCCTCTTTTCAAAATTAGCACATAATCTTTTCCTTTTATTGACATATTTTAAATAAAGAATTGATTGTTTTCTTCTTAATGGAAAAAGTGTCCCTTTGGATTAAGGTGATTACTTTAAGTAATCCCATCAAAGTGATAAAGTTTTTATAAAGTTACAAAGAGAATATAAAAATACAACAGGAAGTTGTATAGAGAAAGCAGTGTGGGAAGACATCATGTGACCTATCTCCTTAACAAATTTACTGATGAATACTTGGCCAATAGCTTTGGGATGAGGTTTGCGTAGTATCCTTATCCCACTATTGCAGTTTTTATACTCTTTTATCCTGTAATTTTAATGTAAATTTAATGTTAACATTGATTTTAAATTTTTTTTTATTGATGTTTTAATTTCTTCATTATTCTGGTTTATAATACAAAAGTACTACTCTCGAATAGGGCCCAATACACAAAAATACAATAATACATATTTACATTTTACCAAAGTGTCATTCACTATGTCAAATGTTTTTGTTGAATTGCTCTAATGTGGTAGGTATGGAAAAACCTTTAAAAATATTAAATCACTAACGATCTGGCAGAGTTTTCAAAGTGAGACAGATCAAAATATTCCAGTTAGATAAATGTTATGTTTCTAACCAAATTGTTTGGTGTTTTGTTCACAGGACATTGGGATGATACTTTAATTTGATCTCATGTCTTCTTCAGTTTTTTTTTTTGACTTGCTGTCCTTTGTTTATTATCATATTTTCACTTTTGGTGTTATATTTTGTTGTTCTATTATATCTTTTCTCTTTTGATACCCAGGAAAAAAAATTAATCTATGTTTTTACACAACAAAAAATAGTCTGCTTTCAGCAATTTTGGCAATATGGTACCAAGTTGCCTTCTTTCTCTTGTATCTGACCTTGAGTTGACTTCTACAAGAGCAAATACCATTTAAAGAAAAAAAACTGTAGGCATATTGGAAAAAACCGTTTTACCTTTGATTACTTGAAAATGCCTCCTAACTTAAATTTAAAGCAATTTGTCAAATCAAAACCCATTTAGTGTTTTTTTTTTTTCAAAAATATTCATCAGTATGTTTATGATTTAACAAATTTTGTATATTTTAGTTTGAAATTGATTGTGTTACTATTTATTACAGTACTATTATTAATCAACATTGTGACTGGATTCTTCCTATTTTAAACCGAAATCAAGTTCTTAAAAAAACAAAAAGGGTCTTTTTCAAATGGGTTGGAAAACTACAACAAGCAGCCATCCTAAAACTTAGTACTGAATCGTTACAAAAAAATATTATACTTATAAATTATACATTGATTTGAAATACAATTGTCAGTATTAATGATAGGCCTAGATATTTTTATAGACTTAAGATACTTGTGAAATTTTACTTTTTTTGATGATGAAAGTTTGTAACTAACTTGAAATAAATAAATATTATAATATTTTCATTTAAAAAAAATTATATTTTTAAAATTAAAAATAGTTAAAAGATTATCAGTGAATCTTTTTACTTTAGTCGAGCATAAACTGAGGGGAAACAGTGGTTTAAAGCTCGTTAGAAGATTTGTCCTGGAAGGAATGTTTGAAATTCCCAAATTGCCATCAAAAAACTGCTGTGAAGTAAATGTGTGGCCTCCACTGTATATTTCTCAGTTATTGTATCCTGGTAGAGTTATGTAGCACACCCTTCCACCCATAAGATCTTATCTGTCAAGGTTCCCTGCTACATGGTATGTTGATATTGGCATTCCTTGGCTGAGATTCTAACACTTTCGTTTAATCATCCTTAAACTTAAACCCTGTTTCTAATCACTCTATGACTTCGCTTTATTGATCGAGTGGCAAACGAAATTGCAGTATTACTATGAACACTGGGTTTATATTTGGCCCTTTTTTTAAAAGTATTTTTTAATTGATGAAAACCAGAGTAGAAAGGAACAAACTACTTGTGACAATATTTTTTATTGATTTTTATTGGATTTTAATAAAAAAGAAAATAAATGTGGGGGAAGGGAGTGGACCCATTTTGATTTGGGCTTCATCCATATCTTCTACTGTATGCCAGATATGACATACCATAGAAATACCCACTACACTATAGTTGAATTCAAAATAATAATTAAGTTTTGTATTTTGCTATCCAGTATCTATTATTATTCAGGTTTATTACTATATATTTATTATTATTCAACTCCAATATTTTTCATAGTTTACAGACGAGTTTTTGCAAATCACAAAAAAAATACAGTATGGCAAAATGTTAACAACCAATGTGCTTTAGATCTGTTCATTGATGAGTGAAATCATCAATGTGCTGTAGATCTCTTCTGTGATGATTAGAAATCATCAATGTGCTGTAGATCTCTTCAGTGATGATTAGAAATCATCAATGTGCCATAGATCTCTTCTGTGATGAGTAGAAATCATCAATGTGCCATAGATCTCTTCTGTGATGAGTAGAAATCATCAATGTGCCATAGATCTCTTCTGTGATGATTAGAAATCATCAATGTGCCATAGAACTCTTCTGAGATGATTAGAAATCATCAATGTGCCATAGATCTCTTCTGTGATGATTAGAAATCATCAATGTGCTGTAGATCTCTTCTGTGATGATTAAAAATCATCAATGTGCTGTAGATCTCTTCAGTGATGAGTAGAAATCATCAATGTGCTGTAGATCTCTTCAGTGATGAGTAGAAATCATCAATATGCCATAGATCTCTTCTGTGATGAGTAGAAATCATCAATTGCCGTAGGTCTCATCAGTGATTAGAGAAATCATCAATGTGCTGTAGATGTTGATGATTAGGAATCATTAATGTGATTAAGTTCTCTTCAGTGATGAGCAGAAATCATTAATGTGACGTAGATCTTTTCATTGACGAGTGGAAATCATCAGTGTCCCGTAGACCTCTTCAGTGATGAGTAGAAATCATCAATGTGCTGTAGATGTCTTCATTGATGAGTGGAAATCATCAATGTGCTGTAGATCTCTTCATTGATGATTAGAAATCATCGATGTGCCGTAGATCTCTTCAGTGATGAGTACAAATCATTAATATGCCGTAGATCTATTCAGTGATGAGTGGAAATCATTAGTGTGCCTTTAATCTCTTCAGTGATGAGTAGAAATTATCAATGTGCCATTGAGATCTCTTCATTGATGATTAGAAATCATCAATGTGCCGTAGATCTCTTCAGTAATGATTAGAAATCGTCAATGTGCCGTAGATCTCTTCATTGATAAGTGGAAATCAATGTGCCGTGGATCTTTTCAGTGATGAGTACAAATCATCAATATGTCATACAGCCATAAGATTTCCCAAAGGTTGTGCCTCTTTCCACAATTCTTTGCCAGAGTTGATCGTCTTAAAAATAATTTTATGATGGAATTTACACAAAAACTCTATAACCACAGATAAAGGTGGATATGACATACATTTCTTATTTTATTCTCTGTAAAACAAAAAGAACCACAATTTTATGATGAATCAAAACAGATGACATGAAAAAGTCAAGAAATTAAGATAAAAAAAATGTATGATTAAGGATTAATCCCATACAAAGCTATTTTTGGGCAAGGCTGACTGGTTTTGTTTTTTTGGCTGACTGGTTTTTTTTTTTTTTTTTTTTTTTTTTTATATAGTTTTGAAGTACTATACTGTTGAAAGAAATCCTATAAAATATTCCATTCTGCTGAAGGATTTGTTCATATGCAAGGTTAAGCTATTTTAGGGTTAGGCTTATGTGTTTTCTTTATGGTAAAGTTTTGTTTTGTTTAGCTTCCTACTTGCCTGGAATTTACTTGAGGTAGAAACAAAGTATACCCAGAGAGTGCCCCAGGGGAAAAGAATGTTTCCCAGTTTATTTAAATTTCAGAAAGAGTGAAAGTGAAATCTCTCAGTGTTTAAATGGTATTTCTATGAGAATAATGAATCACTGGTAGATTTGTTCGTAAAATAGATTTAAGAGTGGTTTTAGTAAGCTGTAAGTAGAAGTGTGCTAGCTTTTTATTTTTTAACAATTCAAAAAACCCCTTGCTAGGTCCCCATATTTGTGATTGAACCTTACTGATCTTTCCCTGACATTCAGATGTTTTCTGCCTCTCTCTTTGTAGCTTCTCATATATCATTCATACACATTAATGTTTCTACTCCCATTAATCCATCTAGTCTGATTTTACCAATATCACAATACTTACAAGTATTAAATTCTAGTTTACAAGTAAAGGTCTACTAAACATGGGATTGCTCATTTAAAATGATCAAATACTATTAAGTTTATTAATTTTCAATGAACTTTTCCAGAGTGTTAATCAAACTCAACAACTGACCAATCAGGACAGTGATCTGATAACATTCTTGTCCCACACACACACACACGTCCCACAAACGATCGTGTTTATGTGCATTTATGCTATCTTTTTTTTTGGTGCCTTAGCAACAAAATGCAGGGAGCAGAGTTTAGAAGAAAGGAACATTGGGATACACTAATTGATACTACTATTCATTACCACTGATTTAAATACTTTTGACTATGAAATAAGTTGGTTTAAAATACTAGCCACTTCTATGCAAAGAATACAGTATTAGGAACAGTAATATTTATGTGTCTTAAACTGTTAGTTGGCGAGGAAATGTTTTTTCTAATTTTTAATTGAAATCTAATGTAAATAATAGGACCAACAGCTTATCGTCCCATTCAAAGATTGAGGGAATTAAAACAGTGTCTTACCCAAGCAGACAATGGCATTGGCAGGGTTTAAAAGCTAATTATTTAATTAAAATATTAAATATCAACACTGGCAGTAGATCTTTAACAAGGGCTTTTCATTTCAGTTCTTTAAATCTCTTCTTGGTTATTTTCTTTATTCAATTTGTAGTAAATATTTTTTTTCAGTGATTTATTTAATGCATACAGTAAATTATTGATTTTTATTATTATGAGTACTTTTGAAAAAATTGTTAATATATTCCCTTTCTAACCTATTCATTTATATTTCCATTATTACAATTAATATTTATATGCAAACTTTAAAACTGAATCCCAGCTGAGCACTTTAATTTCCAAACTCTGACAGTTTTATCACAAAGAATTTGTGTCAAATATTTGTGTAATCATTCAATAATATTGTCTCCTTACCATCCGCTATGTTTTCTGACAGAACTCCAGGAATATATGTCATATAGGGCATTACTCTGCAACCCAACAATCACTATGTAATCGGAAAATTGAAGCCATATGTGTCTAGCATCAAAGGTGTCTCGAGATCTACACTCCTGCTCCTCTTAAAAGTTTGAGCTGGTTTTTTTTTGCATGGTTGTTGAGCAAGATTGAAAGGTCTTGTAAACTTCCCAAAGTTCTGGTACTCAGTCGTCGCCCCTTTATCGCTATTGTTCTGGTGAATAATTTATTTGTATTCTTAAAGGTAAGATTCACCAAAATGTTGGAAATCATGTAAGTTGAAATTTTAAGATTTATTTTAATTATTTAATTTAATTTCTGGGATTTTTTATGTTAGTTAAAATGAGTGATGGAAAATTCTAACTTTTAATGATAATTGATATAGTATTGATATAATGCATTACAAAAAAAATATTATATTTTATTTAATGTAATTGATATGCAAGAAATATTTTTAGTGTTAAAATTCCAAGAGGACCTTAATGGAAATAAGTTTATTTTTACATTTTTGGGGTTGTAAGCAGTTCATTCAGATATTATTATCATTTGAACCTTTTTGTGTATTGTTTGATTCACTTCTCTTGTTTGATGAACTGAATATAACTGAACATTTATCTTCTCAATATGCCTGTTAAAAAGTTAAAATCGTAAGTTCTCTATCAGATTTGGCAGTTTTATACGTCATATGGCTTTAATCTCAAGGTATTCTAGTCATTTCCAGACTAAAATAGCTCATATAATCGTTGGTTTCCTCCGGACCTTAATGTACGATACTATTTCAAATGCTACCTTTTTTTAAATATTGATTTTAATTATACTGTAGTCTGTAGAATAGGAGTTATCTTCCTTTTAGAGTTGGTGTGAGTCCCTAACCCAGGGAGCTCACTTGCATAACAACCAAACAGGGGGGTGCCGCAGCCACTTCAAGACATGAGACACTTGATCTACCTATTTTAATGAAAATTCTTATGGACTTGAACTACGTCCATTTACCAAAATCGCACTGTGCTCTAAAAGACAATGGAAAAAGGCCACCAAAGATCTTATAATTACAAGATACCGTAGCGCTCTCTGCGATTCTAGCATTAACAAATAGAAGTGTTGATGTTCAGTGAAACGCAATAGAAAGTAATTGTAATTGAGAGAGGGCGTCCTAGTTGTTACCATGGTTGGTGTTCCAGAATTTGCAAGTAGATCATAGACATCAAAGTTAATTGTAATTGCAAGAGAGCGCCCTACACTGCGTTATTACAGAGTTTGCACACAGAAATCACGGAGAACGTTATTTTGTTATAAGATCTTTGAAGGCCACTCAATAGTACCAGAGAGGGTGCAATATATACTGGTTCTCGATGGTAAAAAGTGTTACGTCCAGTCGAGATCTCGTGGCTGTACCAAAGGTAGGCTTACCAAGGGGCTTACCGGCTTAGTACCCAGTCTAGCTTGAAATTCCCACTAACATTGTGCGGAAAATCACACTTTGACACAGGATGGGCCAGGGACTTTAATTACCATTTTCACTCCGGTTATTTCCCACACTTGTGCTACAAAGTCTTTGCAAGTATACCCCATAAATGCTGCAACTCCTCCATATTTCCCGCACTTGTGCTACAAAGTTCTCGAAAATATACCCCGTAAATGCGGTACCTCCCCGTATAGAAATATTTAGGAGTGAGCCCCCGAGGTCCCTAACCATTAACTTGTGAAGTTAGTGTCCAGTCAGCTTGCATAAATACACAAAAGCCAGTAAAACAGAACGCAAACAACATATTTATAAAAAGCATCAATATGCTGCGCTATTTTTGGCTGGTATTATAACTAGAATAAATAAGGCCAATGCTAGATTGCTTAGTAATAATAAAGATATAGCTGACGTCCACTACTCACAGTTGTAATATATTGGATGCTTAACTATCTTGGGCTTCATTTGTAAGTTTTGTTAATTTTTCCTATTCTGCTTCCGTAGGTGATTCTGAAGTTGGAAAGATGCCCTTGTGATATAACCACCCACCTACTACTATGGAAATATGAGCACACCACCCCTTTCCTCATCTCCAGACATCTCCACCAACACTAAGCGTTACTGTGAGATTGAGAAAATAGGCACCGGTGCATACGGTACCGTGTACAGAGGTCGCGATAGAGTGTCCGGAGATGTCGTTGCTCTTAAAAGAATACGTGTACAGGCCACGGAGGAGGGGATGCCAATGTCAACTCTCCGAGAAATTGCCCTTTTGAAGCACCTCGATTCCCACGAACACCCAAATATTGTACGGTAAGTTGCTTTTAGATTTTTTTTTTCAATTTTATTAAAAATCTGTAAATCAGAGCCTGATTTGGATCCAGCCATAACATCAATATAGTTTCTTTTGGAAAATTGTCTTTTGTCAATCAAACAGTCAGTTGAACAATCAAACATGGAATCAGACAGAAGCTGATGAAAGTTTACTTTTGTGGTTTTTTTCTAAATAAAAATGGTTACAATGTTCCGAGTATACAGGTATATTGTTTTATTATATTAATTAGGCAAAATAGCATATCTATCAACCCATTCAAACATTTTTTTTTCGTTCTCATTTAAGTCACTAATCATTTTCTTATTGTCAATAAAATTTTATTTTTTATTTCCTCCTTCTCCCAGATACCATACTTACGGTAAACGGTGAAACCATTTTGCTAAAGGAGAAAATAATTCTTTTTTAGCTCTCCTCTGAATATCTTTTAATGAAAGTTTTCTAAATGAGGTATAAAACGGGTCTTGCTTTCTTTTTTATTTTTTTTTATTTTGGTTAATTTTGGAGTCATCACCCAGTCAGTGAGGCTACTGCAGGCCGATGGCCTCTTTAGCCCAATCCTTTTCATCTACTTTGATCCTGCACTCTATACAGATCTGACCGCTTTCAGCTTTTTCCATTCTATTTCTTCATCCTTTCTAATTATTACTCTTAGGTAATTAATGATAAGGAAAGACCTCCAGAAAATATAAAAACCGAGTTTTGTATTATTGTTAACTGCGCTGTCTATATAACAGTAATTGTGCCTTTGGTGTTTCACATACTATACCATAAAAATACCTAGCAATGCTTATCCAAATATAGGTTAGGGATTATATACTAATAAGGCATCCACAAAGTGTTCAGTGACCCTGCATATTGACCTCTGCACCTTTACTGACCTCCAATAAAAGCAGGGGGTGGAAGTGATATATTTACATCAGCCCATCTTCCCACCAGAAAAGATCTTTTATGTCCAACAGGTGGGATAGGTGATTGCTACATTAACAGAAGGTCAGACTGCTACCACCTTGGTCAGGTACATAGAATTCTTTGTGGAACACATATACTTCGCTCATCACAAGTAATTGAGCTTTAAATAGTTTATTTTCATTTGTTAATAAAATAGACTGAGAGGCGTACCAAGGCTATGAAACTATGTGTTGTATAAACTAGGGATACCAATGTTTGTTTTACTTTTGTTTATGCTTTAATTGCATTTTATTTCTTTCACAGCATTTTTTTTTTTTTTTTTTTTTTGACAATTGCAATAATGAAAAGAATTACGACACAATGTATTTGTAACATCTCCTTTGAATGTGTTTAGTTTTATGTTTATACACATTTGAAAAAGAAAACAAGAAGTGAATCATGTTTGTTTGTTTTGGAAATGCCCTACCCTTAAAAAATAGTAAAAGTATTAGTTGACCCCAGTTACTATTTGGCCTAGTTATTTACCTAACATTCCTGCACATACTACTTAGTAGGGGGTGCAATTGACATATGGACTCAGGGGAGGTGTTCAGGGTCGTAGTTCACTGACATAAGACATAAAGGTGAAAATTTTACAAGTCCTAGAACATCTGGCCTTTGTCAGTACACCTGCAATTCTGTACATCTGGAAGTAGCATCTGCTTATGGTAGGTGTAAACTTGAACCATTTATTCTGACCATTCAGATTAATGAAGTTACAGCAACAAAACACAGATATACTCAGATGTAGGATGTTCTAGACATCAGAAATATTATGGGTAGAGATGTGGCAGTTGGATAACTGAAGGTGAGAATATTGTTGAAAACTTGTGAACCTGTTTAGTGGTTGACCACATGTGTTAAGTAAAGCATTCTTTTCATAATAACCAGTGTTGAGAAACAAATCATTTTTATTGGGATTTAAACCCAAGAACCCTAATATGGTAACTTTTTATATATTTCTATTTTATTAATTCAATAAGGTAAGAGAACAGTACTTACAATGTCAAAGGCATGGATTGTGTGCCAACGAGTAGAAAAAAAATGTTGTGTAGGAAGAAATATTATTTACCATCTGATTTTGTTGCAAATGTCTACAAATTCTCTATTTGATTATGGTAGCTTTTTATCTACCCGGCACATAAAATCAGCAGATCTAGTTCTCGTGGGTCAGGGTCATATGTAAAAAAAAAGCTTGTTGTGTTTTGCCTGTAAAATTAGATTTTTATTCAATATGTTTATACATGTATTGACATCCGGTGCAGTTATGGTGTCTTAGTCAAGTGGTACCATTCTCATATACAGTAATATTACAATATATAAACTTTTGAATATAAACAGAATATCAGTTTGAATTTGAAATACCAGTAGCAATAATAAACAATTTCATGTAACATAAGATTTTCAATTTCAATATTATTTTTAACGAAAAAGTAGAAACTAAATAAATAAAAAGAAATATATAAAAACAATATAACAATGTCAATCGGCATAGTGCACAATCCTAGGTCTTTATGTGCTTTCAACAAATATACAAAAGAAGTTGAATGAAAGAAACAAATAAGATGAAGATGAGACAAAGGAAAAGTAACAACAAAAATATTCCACAAAAAGAAAAACAATGATGGACTTTTAACCAGTACATAGTTCAAAAGGTTCTGTATATTTTTGGTGGAACACAGTTTAAGAACGATAGCAATTGAACATAACTTTGCATTTTAACATCATGAAAAGTTATCACCATTAGTCATATGTCACGCACTCGTACCTCTCAACACCATGCAACGATATTCTGCCATCCTTCGATTTATTTTCACTTGTTATAATTGTTCTTTGTTTCATTGTTCAAGCATTTTCATGCATTTTAAAAATCTTACTTTTTTTTTAAATTGTTTGCATCTGGTCTCCCTATTTACCCCATTTTCACTTCCCCATTTTCTTAAGTAAATAATTAGAATCACTCAAGAATGTTGTCAAAATCAATACACACACACACCGGGCAAGTTGATGATTATCATGTTTCCTGTCCCTGGGCCAAGTTAGCTAAATATTATTTTTTGTTGAAGAGTGTTGCCCATTATTACGGTAGGATATAAATAGTAGCTTTTCATATAGGTGTTGAGATTAATGGACAAAGAGTTTGTAGGAGTACCTCCCTGTTAAGAGCAGGTGCAATAAATGGACCCAGAAAGCAAACTATCAGATTTATCTAAAGATTGTCAACCTCTGTTGTTTACCCTTAGTTCTTGAAAGTGAACTTTCTATTGTAGGGGTTTGGACTGTACTGAGCATATGCCCTGCTTTGTCAATGTAAAGTTTTTTGTGTTTTGCGTATAGAATTTCTATAGACACTTTCTTATTTTAGATCCAAATGGTATTCCATATAATGCGCTTTCCAGCAGCAGTACCAGTCTTGTGTTTTATGTCAAGTTCATGACGCTAGTATCCATACTGTTATTACATGCAGCGCCACTTTTGTTTTGCCAAGATGTGGACCAATTCCATGCATTGTTAGTCCTGCTTTCTGAATATTTTGTCAAATTATGTGCAGTATTGTATGCAATGACAGTCTTGCGCCATCAGGTTGTAGCCCTGCTATTCCAAGTAATGACACCTGCTTTTTCAGTACGCCTACAATTCAGTGGAACTGTATGCCACCTAGCAGCTAGTCAGCATTTAGTTACAACAGGACTATTCCTTGTAATGCAATCTTGCCACCCAAAGAGACCTCAGCTTGTCACAAGCAAGTTGAAATACTTGAAGTGTAAATGGAACTGCTTTTTAAGTAGTTATACAAATTAGTTCTCCCTGTCCACCTATTGTCCAGGGCTGGACTTAACATAGGTACACTTGAAAGTGTACAAGCCGTGTTGCTGTTCTATTGTGAAAGCTAACCCCTTGAGAGTCTTCCTCCCTCGGCAATCATCGATGTTGGTTTTTTGGACAAAAGACATCACAATTGGTTCCTCTACTCGTACATTTTTTTAGAATAAATCTGATATATTTGTAGAGTCTACCGCGGTAACCTAACAGCACCATGGAGAATGTAAATAAAAGAAAAATGAAACGTACTAATCATCAAAAATTCACACAGGAAAGATGTGCTTATATTCATAATATTGTTTCCTTCCTATAATAAACTAAGGGTCTATGTATAAACTAAAATGGTAAGATAGGATATTTTTTTACACTGACATACTTGCAACAAGATATGCCTAAATCTACATAGAAACACTTGGGATTAATTCCAAACAACATTAGGGAGTTTCCACAATCATCAGAGAATCTTGAAGTTGTGACCAGAGAGAAATCCTAAAATAAAAAAAATCATAAAGCTTTGTCCATACTATCGAATTTATGTGATGTGCCCATATATGGGCATGATGATGTTGCCCAAATATGGGCATATCACATTCGACAAATCTTAAGATTGATACTGTCACAAACTCTGCCGCATAATACTATAAATCAGGATGGAACCAATTTGACTCAAGACACCAGAACTGCAATATTTTTAGGATTAGATAAAAAAAAATGATCTAAAATTTTACTGGCAGAGCACACTTTACTCACTCTCTTTTCACACAATTTTCACAGTCAAAGTAGAATGCTTTGCAGACTTTCCAATAATTTAAAGGAAATTCTAGTAACTGATACTAATCATTATTTAATTTTACTTTTGTAATAATTTCATATTTTTATTATCATTGTATAATTATTAATTATTATAAGTTTAGGTTAATTTAATGCTCATTTGCTGTGTTAAATCATTTTGTATGAAACTTGTGAAATGTATTCTTTTCAAATGCCCTGAAGTTTTTCTTACGCATTTGGATTTTCTTTGAATTAAAGATGTACAGTATTCGTCAAACATATATAATGGCTTAAAACTGTTTTGTTTGGCAAATTAAAAGAGTACGAATGAACAATGATAATTAAAATATACATACAACTCCCAATATTTCATTATAATTCATATTTTTTTTGTTCTCTAGGTTTATCATATTTAAGAGAAAACAGCTGCCTTTAT